GGCACTGTTTGTATGTGTGTTTGCATTTATCCACAGGTAGCCATTAGAAGGTGCTTCTGCTCTTAAAACAGAGATAGGATAACCTGGTTTTCTTTTGTTAAGCAGTCACCATGGCTGTCAACAAGATCTGGTTTACGTTCGCAGTGGCATGTTTTCCCTTCCTGCCTGCGCCAGTCACAGGCCACCTTATTTAATAGAAGTACTCTTGCTGAGCACAGGTTGTCATGGTGTCAGAACCTTGGGTGACTTGGGTAGTTTATAAATCACCCTAAAACCCACGCCTTGTTCTAGGGTGAGTTTTCACATTTCATATTTTCTTTCCTTCCTTGATAGTGTGAACCCATTCTGAGGATCATATGTACATATTTTACCAGCTTGCCATGCTTGTTTTACTGTGAGATGAGCACCTTTAAATTCACCAGGACCCCCACACAGTTAATTCAAAAGTATTTCTCCAGTTGATATCCTAGCCAGCAGTTACTGTTGGCACATGTTCAGCACATGATAATTTTTTTGACTTCCTTCCCATTTGTCATTCCTTCCTGATGATGTGTGTTGTAGCGGCCCAGCTGTTTTAACTTGCACCTTCTCACCTGGAAACCTGGGAAAACAAAGGAGCCCCCATGGGTTGTAGCATGCCTCGAGTGTCCTGTAAATGGTGTCACATTTGTGTAAACAAGGACGGTTCCTTGGGGAATGAGTAAAGGGGATGGGGGTTGTGTCTTTCCAAGACCACTGGGGAACAAACCAACAAAAGACAATTAACTCTGGAACAACAAGCAGTCAATTTAATGTTTGGCCAAACTAGCCAATCATTTTCTTGAAATATGCATGCTTTTCCAGGGCATCGGCCAATCTTGCATGAAGAAGAAGATTGCATACCAGCAGGTCCACTCAAAAATCCTGTGATTTGCCAGTTGCCCTTAGGTTTGCTTTGTTCTGCAGCTCATCAGTATTGATAAGGGCAGGTCTCAGTCCATTGGCTGTGGAAAGCTGTGGGGAAGCCACAGGGATGGGGAAAGCCATGCAGTGCAAGACTTCTGCAGGGAGGGTCCGTGGCAGAGCACATACTTTACATGCAGAAGCTCCAGGTTCAATCTCTGGCTTGTCCAGGTAGAGTCAGAAAAACTATTCAGCCAGGCCACTAGACACAGCTGGATCACTGTGGATTACTTAACAATGGAACACTGTGTACTGGGTCTGTATGGATGCTGTTGTGAGTTTACAATCCCTGACTGGGACAATAGAGGTTTGGGCTGTATCATAGCCAATGTGCGCTCTTCAAGGGTTAAATCACCCTTGCATAAGCCATTGGTTATAAATGGAATATCCTAGGGTTCCTTCATCCTTGAATAACCCATGCTGCTGGATTCTCGTGACACACCCTAATCCAAAGCACCGTGGTCCAGGGTCATATATTCAAATCGGTGGCCACAGACGTGGTCCATGCCACAGCTCATCCTGGGGATCCCATGTGGTGTAGTGGCTAAGAGTCTGGGACTGGGACTCAGGTGATCAGGGTTCTAGTCCCCGCTCAGGTCTTGAAGCTCTCTGGCTGACTTTTGGCCAGCCACACACTTTCAACCTAACCGGCCTCACAGGAAAAAACATGGAGAGGAAAGCCTTGTAATCTACCTTGGGGTTCTTGCCAAAAAGAAAGAAAGAGACATGGGGGAGGGGAGATGTAAATGCTAATAATAAGCACAACCACCACCCACAGATGACCTACTGCTTATGCAAATTCAGCCATTGCCTGAAGCACAGTAGAGCTGCTGCCGGTCAGTGTTGACACACAGGCAGGCGTAGATAGATCCATGCAGCTTCCTATGCTAAAGGGCACTGCCTTTCCTCTGCCCTGTGCTACATTTCCTAAGAGATGGCATGAAATCATGCACATGCAGAACATTTTCAAGCAGATTTGGGGCATGGGGAGGGCAAGGGCATTTTCCAGGGGCCACAAGGTTGTTCACAATTTGTGATCACGTTAATGAATAGCAAGGAGTGAAGGAGCAGCTCTGCGATTATGCAACCCTGCCTGTCATCTAGCCGCCTCTGCCCTCTTCAGAAGTTCTTCTGGAAAGGAAGGGAAGGAGCGCATAGTTCATTACCTGATACCAGTCGATTATGAATTAGTGATCTACTCTAAAACCTTACCTATTCTCTGTTTATTCTTGAGACACCTGTAAATGAAGGTTTTTCGCCTATGGTGCTGACAATCATTTTAATTCCTTATTAATATCAATCTGTTACTTATACATGAGTTCAGATCCTAAGCCGTAATGTATTGGAAACCTCTGCAGAAATGACTGGATTGAAATTGAAAGCTTTTTTTCACTCTGGACTCTGCGCTCTTTTGTGCATAGCTCCATGAATCAAATGAAATGAATTAAAAGAAATGTATGTGCCCAGCAGATACTGTTCTGGCCCTGTAACAATATTGTATCCAATTGCTAATTTATAGGCAAATTCCCTTGTTGTTTTAGTCTCCCATCTAGTGGCCATAGAGTTGTACTGCAATAGAAACAGATATTTCCAGGGCCAATTTTGTACTGTCTGAAAACAAGCCCAAAGAAGTTCCTTCAAGGATGACTGGTCACAGCTGCCTTGGATCCTGATCAGGAGATCCAGCACAAATTTTCCCTGTCTTATATCTAGTTATGTCCTCAGGACCCAGGTATTCCTGTACAAAATGAGGATGAGCATAGTTTCCTTCTGTTTCCAATTTGAAGTGATTCCTGCCTTTGGATCTGCTCTGGATTTTAACTATGTTCATCTTCTATTCCTGCTTTAAAAAAGATGTGTTGTATATGCATTTATTGATTTTAAAAGTAAACTCTGTTCAAAAGTGTTTGCTGTATGTTGCTTTGAGCATTTAGGAAGATAATTACAGTGCACAGAGAAAAAACAGGCAGCAGTTAACCATTTATTAGAAATTTTGCTTTATTTGTAAAATAGTAAGGCATACACTTAGAGTTTTGGCATTACTTTTGACTCTGAATAGAGAGCTCTTTGGTGAAATTCTAGAATAAAATAAATGCTGTAATTATTGTGCAGAATATTTGTACCTTTTTGTCCATTGTTTGCCCTTGAACCTGGAGCAGGGGGAGCACTGGCAATTCCTCACATGGAAAACTATTTGTATTATACGTTCTTTCACACATGGTTTAATTGACTGATTGTGAAACACTCCCCAAACAGAGGAACACCCCTCTGGCTACTTGGGAAGTAGTCACATAGCTGGGTGTCTGCATGAATTGGGCTCTTCTAAAAACTAAATTACAACTATTAGTATTATTGTTGTCGCTGCATTTGTATCCCAACATTTTTCCTCTTGTGGGGAATGCGAGGCAGCTTACATAGTTCCATTTTTCCTCACATCAACAAACCTTTCAGGTGGGTTCAGCTGAGAGTGAGTGACCAGCCCAGAGTCACCCAGTGAGCTTCCCCCAGATCTCCCAGGTCACCAGTCCAACGCACTAACCACCATGCCGCACTGTCTCTCATTAAATTAGCTGCATACATGAAATACATTTGCCCTCTTGTTCTCTTGTTTTAAAATTCTCCGTTGATTTCAAGGAACACCTAGCATGATGGGTTCGATCTTGTTTTAAGAAAGCCCACACACGCTCCCACCGCCACCAGCTTCCTTGTCCATTGCAACAGCATAATAAATGCCTGAGGTTCACTGAGGTGAATGGGATTGCATGGTAGCAGTCACCTGGATCTAGTGGCGTCCCGGGAGCCCAGCATCTCCCGTGCAGACGTGGGCTTTCCTGTCTTCAGTCAGCTGCTTGTGCCTGACCGTTGAAGGAGATGCTCTGTGCGAGCATCCCTCTGCATGTGAGGAGGGGCTGCAGGTCAGTGGGAGAGCACATGCCGCGAGCCCCAGTTTCATTTCCTGGCATCCCCAGTCAAAAGGAATTGGTAGCAGTTCGCCGGAGCTGTAGCTCCAATTAAGCAACTTCAGGCTTGATTGACAGATGTTCTGGCTCAGTGTAAGGGAGGTTCCTGTGTTGTTCCTCTGCTGGAATGAATGGGGAAAGCTGTCACGGGTTACATGCAAGACTTTCGATCTGGTTCCGGATTACATAGGCTTAGTTGATGCAAAAAGGAGGTGGTGTGGAGCACCCATGTTTGAACTGTACCCCTTCAGACTGAAAGTGTGGCTTCATGCGGTTGAATTCTGCCCAGTTCAAAATATGCCTCGTGCGCAAAAAGTAAAACATCCTGTCATACTAATTTTCTCTTTGTAGAAGTCTCCCCATAGGGGAGGACTCTAGCATGAGCTGGTGCAGCTCAGGCACAGCAGCTTTAGGACCAGGCTTTCATGTCAGCCCCCCTGTGATATGAGTATGACCCAAGGCTGGTGTCAGTAGAGCTCCTCATCCTGTGCAGCTTTTCTTTTCAGCTTTATGGGAGAAGCTCTATCCATGGTGCTCCATGGTGGAGAAACTCTTTTGAAGATGGAGTTCAGCACCTTGGATAGCTCCTGTAAATTTCAAAAGTGGGGCTGTGATATCATAAACCTCCCCTGGTGAGTGTATGTAGTAGCTGACTACAACTGGCTACCTGGGGATGATGGCAGTTGTAGTCAAACATAATGGAGAGGCCTGGGAGGGGAAGACTGGGTGTACGACTGAGGATAAAGGAACCTTTATCTTGCAGAAGAGTTCAAAAAATGACTGCAGATTAAAGGATGGCCTGTTGCCAAATTTAAGTAAATCAAAGTGTTTCTTTCCAGTGAAAATTTGATTAGAGGGCAATAAAGCCTTTCCGCCCCAGTTCCTTCCATTTATTTGGCTTGGGTTTTTTTCCTTGATACTGGCATCTCTAGTAGATTAGTGACCCCAGCCTTTGATGTGATGACTAGCTGCGGTTTAACCCAGCAGGAAGAAATGTTAACTAGTGGGAGTTCCTTGGTGATAATAGTTGTGTGCTGATTGTAATTTTATGACGTCTGAAGCATTAAACATTCTCCTTCCTTCCTTCCTTCCTTCCAGTTTTGACGTCGACAATGGCACCTCATCGGGACGGAGTCCCTTGGATCCCATGACAAGCCCTGGATCAGGGCTGATTCTCCAGGCTAACTTCGTTCACAGTCAACGTAGGGAATCCTTCCTCTACCGGTCTGATAGTGACTATGACCTCTCTCCAAAGTCCATGTCTAGGAACTCCTCCATTGCCAGTGACATGTAAGTACTTGATGCCGTATATCAACTTTCAGTGCCTAAAGGCAGCCTTCCCCAACTGAGTGTCCTCCAACTGTGTGAGACTACAGTTGGCAGCAAACACCAACCAGGTGGGAAATGCTGGGAATTGCAGTCCAACATTTTGAGGGCCACCAGGCTGGGGAAGCCTGTCTCTAAGATTAACAAGTATCCAAAGGGTGGCCTCCTAGAAGATGGAGTGGACTTGTTCTCTGTTGATCCAGAGGGCAAAACTAGAATCAGTGGGTGCTGGTTGTAGGGGACCTAATTCTGGTGAAGCATTAGAAGGAACTCCCCAGTGAAGAGCTGGCTGTTCAGCAACAGAACAGACTGCCTGGAGAGGTAACGAGCTCGACTTTGCTAGAGGTATTTAAACAGAGCTGGACACATACTGCTATGTTGTAGTTCCATCCTACTTAGTAGATGCTGCATTGAGCAGAAGGTTGGGTGAAATGACCTCCAGGGCTCCTCCCAACTCTGTAATTCTGTGAGATTTATTAATTTACTCATTCATTCATTTTTATATTTGTATACCACCAACTATTCCAACAGGAATCGCTGAGCAGCATACAACAATAATCAAAATCATAACTTTTAAAATAATAAAGTCATCATATTTAACAACAGTAGGTGCAGTATAACCATGGCCATTTAAGAATGTAACAAGTGAGGAGAAGGACACATCAACATTTAAAACAATTTAAAATCAGTTATTAAAATACCTGGAAAAGAGAAATGTTTTCACTTGGCACTGAAAAGATTACAAGGTCAACAGCAGGCAAATTTCTCTGGGGAGCCTCTTCCATAAATAGGGGGCAGCCACCAAGAAGGTCCTTCTTCTATTTGCCATCCCTTCCACCTTCTTGAGGAATGGCTATTTTAACCTCCTGCCCAGATCCTTATAATAATGATACAGTGCTATGTACATTATTATGCTCTACTCTTTAATTGTATAAAGTCTACTTCATCAGATGCAGTGCTGTCTTTACCTGAAAGTGTTATATATGCAAGGGTGTGGAGGAGAAAATGGACATGGTGGTCGTAAAACATAAAATTAAAGTTTGTGAGAATTCAGTTAAACCTTCAGCATATGCAAAACAAGTAGGGACAGAAGCCTTTCTGGCACTAGTCAATTAAAACCTGAATCATTCATAGGCCTGAACAAAACCTCTTGATAATTTCAAATTCAGCTCCTTTCCTTCAAAGTTATTTTCTTGAAAAATGGCAACTTTCTTGCCATGTCAGCTGTCTGAAGCCCCCTTAGCAAATCACATGTCATGATATAAGGCTATTCTGAAGAGCCTGGGATAAATAGCAACTTAAAGAAGCCGCAAAAAGAATGTTTTGTTTAACTAAAGAAGAAAAGCATACTTAACATACTGTATTTCTGCAACTACCGAAGTCTCTTCCTCCAAAATGTTTACAAATGTTCACCTCCTGAAAGTGGAAAAAACGGTTCTGTTCCACAAAAAAATGGCTAAAATGTTCCCCAAATTTGCTGCCTGCAAATAGGGTAGTGAACTGGGAGAGTGGGGTATATATTGATCCGGCCCATCACTAGGATATATCCCCTAAAAAATGAAAGTTGGGCCCTGGATTGGAAGAGCTTCAGCATCCCTAGTATATAGGCTCTGGATGTGCAAGCAGGGGCCCTGCTTGTTCCCATTGCCTGCCGAGTGCCTGCATCCAGGATCCTCCCTAGATCCTCCCTAGTGTGCATATGGAAGAGCTAGTGCCCAGCTCCACTTCCCCCTCCATGCAAGTTCAGTGTGAAAAGGGAAGAATCTTGTGGTTTTATGAAGTCATAGTGAATATTCATGTGCACTTGAATATTCCACATGGTTGTTAAAAAATCTGACCTTTTGAAACATAAGCAAATACAAATATGCATGCTTGGGAAATGTCAAAATGCACGTTTCTTTTAGTTAGATAATCTGACATCACCCACAGAGGGGAAAGGACTTCTAATCTCAATCGGAATGTCCTATTTTAATTAAATCTGATCAGTGGTTTAGAGTCAAAATAAAATAGCTGTGTGTCTGTGTCTCTGTGTGTGCACATGTGTTAATTTAATTGTTTGTCTGTAAGAGAAATCTGAAAAATACCCTGCAAAAATGTCATCTGCAAATGCTTCAGCACTGGGAAAGCTTTCCCTTTTGGGTCATGAGAGGGACCTCGGACCTCAGAAGGGAGCTCAGAAGGAGCTTCTGCCAGGGCATCTCTACAGAAGGCATGCGTCATGTGCTTGTGTTCCTTTATTCATGGATGTTTGGAGGGCCTTTTTAATGACATCGACATCCTCCAGAGCCTCTCGTGACCTCTCCCGCTTTTCCCAGTCATTTTTGCAGGGTTTTTTAGTCTGAGGAAATTCAGCTCTTAAAGTTCACATTTCACAAACTGGAAGAAAAGCTGTGTGAAAAACCATGTGAAAAGTTGCAAATCCACGATAGTGCAGCTATGCCAGAGTGCCACCTCATGGTTGCTTAACATGGTTCCTTATGCGGAAATGCAGAGAAATACAAACCCCAGGAAAAAGAAATCCATGTAAACAATGTATTTTTGCTCCCACAAATAGAACGGTAGACAAAGCCCAGTAAAGCTGTGAGGTTAAGCCACTCATGTAGAAAAGTCCTTATCCTCTGAGTGCCTTCCTTCTTCCTAGAAAGTAAGAAGTTAGCCCTACTATTCCGAAGGCACTGCATAGCTATTCCGTTTTCCCTTCTTGAATTATTTTTCCTGGTAAGAGAAGAGGCAGAAGTGGTGGGAAGGCTACAAATTAAAGCAACGGTTTGGGCCGCCTGCAAACTGCTGTGACAGTGCCAGTGTGATTGCTCAGTAAAAGCCTCTGGCGATGACCAGTGGGGGTGCGGTGCCAGAAGTGCAGTTGTGGCAAGATGGACTTTTGCAGCCCTTGTTAACATCTCGCAGTAACAGCCTTGGCGCTCCTTTGCTTGCGCCTGCCCTGCCCTGAAGGAAGCATCTGCCTCACTTTTCCCTGCTTCTGCGATACTGCCTGACAGATTCTGTTGGCGCTAATTCTAGATTACCCCATGACTTCTTTTTTGCTCCCCAGCGATGACCATATAAACTGTTTCTGACTGCATCTATGGTGATGGACCGTTCTGTGACTGTGAATCAGAGTCTAATGAGTCTAGCTAAGTGTCAGATCAAGCATAGCAGAAGAGCAGAGCCATGAGGGAGTGTATTATTTGCTGCAGGGTCAATGGAGACCTTTTAAGCCCCCACTTCCCCATGGGGGTGGGGAGTGCACTTTCAGGACTAGCCAGGCGGGAAGCTTAAATTCTCCCTCCCTTCAGAGCACCATAGTCCCGAGCAGAACGAACCTAGTCCTACCAGGTTTTGCTCTTAGATTTAAAAACAAGGGAGAAAGGAAGGAGTAAACTCCAAAGGCTAATTTAGAAAGTTTCTGAAATGAATTTCTGAAAAATTATTCCTCAAGAGTATGTTTTCTACAATGATTTGCCAGTGCAAGGGATGTGCCAATGACTCATCCCTGTTTGTGGTGCCATCCTGGTTGTGTTATTTAAAAACAAATGAACAGTGTTAAATAGTTGCTTTGTGGCTGTGGAAGAAAAGGGAAAGAACGCACAGCAAAATGAACCAAAGTCTCCATGAAGCAGGACACCAGCAAGGGCGGATCATCTTGTCCCAAAATGCATTTAAATGCCCATGTAAGGCTCACCACCTTCTTGTAGCCTTGAAATACTAATCTTCCTCCTCTTCCTTTCCCATTGCTCCCCCCTCTTTCTGTCTTGTCATTTTTGCTTGAAGTGAGCCCCATTGGGATTTACAAATCCACTGCTAACTTTCCCAGTCACTGAGGCCATTGGATGGCATGTTCCTGGAGGTCTCATACAGGCCTTTGGCCAGACTGGATTCAAAGATGAAACTGCAGTGTGATAGCTTCAGTTTTTGGAACTCTCTGCCTCTGAGGTCAGGCAGGGACCAAAATGGTGCTGTTTCAGTGCTCCCTGGAAAGACTTTTTATTCATGAACAAACCAGTCATGTGTGGGTTTTTCTGTTTAGGCTTGTTTTGTTTTTAACATATTGCTTTATTATTTTATCTGTTTTATTGTTTTTATTGTTCAGTACTCTGAAATCTCCATACTGGAATAGGGAGCTGCATATAAATATTGCAGATAAATAAATAATTTAACAGTGGGATGAAAATGCAATAAATAGATAATGAATAAATAATGAATAAATAATAATTACCATCTGCTACGTTTCTCACCTCCCCAGGCTTATCAGTAGCATTTGTTAGCGAGACCATGAGATGACTGTTCTTCTCATCAGGCTGGTGCATTGCTTAATTTTCTAAAAAGATTGGTTCAAATCCACCCAGGGTCACATCCCCTCAGCCTTCTAATCCTAGATGTATAGAGAGGCATGCATATGCAGATAATGTTAAATTCTCTGATTCCAGGAACAGAGAAAATTTGAGCTACAGTGAGTTCTGGCTCAGTTTAAACTTTTGCTAATGAAGAGGACTCCTTCATGGATCACTGCCTTGTTGTGGCGAAGGGGCTTGCGTAGCTCAATGCAGCTATGAGCTATGCCGCGCAGGGTCACCCAAGACAGACAGGTCATAGCAGAGAGCTCTGACAAAACGTGATCCACTGGAGAAGGAAATGGCAACCCACTCCAGTATCTTTGCCATGAAAACCCCATGGACAGTACCAAAAGGCAAAAAGATATGATGCCGGAAGATGAGCCCCTCAAGTTGGAAGGTGTCCAGTATGCTACTGGGGAAGAGCAGAGGACTAGTACTAGTAGTGCCAGAAAGAATGAAGTGACTGGGTCAAAGCCGAAAGGACCCTCAGTTGCAGATGTATCTGGTGGAGAAAGGAAAGGCCGATGCTGCAAAGATCTATACTCCGTAGGAACCTGGAATGTAGGATCCATGAATCAAGGCAAGCTGGATGTGGCCAAACAAGAGATGACAAGACTGAACATCGACATT